AAAAAAAAAAAAAAAAAACAAAACCTTTGCAACCAACGTCCCCAAATATTCCCTCCCACTAAAAATGTAATTTCCAAGGGGAAAATCCTTTAAAGCTGCCTGGAAACATGTTTTTCCGAAGAGAATTTAGGATTAAGATTCAGGCATTCTCATAAATGACTTAAGTGAAGTTAAGATGGTGGCTTAATTAAAGAACTGCTAAGAAATTTACCCATGCAGAATAGGCAAGGTAAAGATGGAGGCAGGGATGATGCTAGTTACACAATGCTATTTCATGGTACTAGTCAAGACTCTGCAAGGCTTCCCACTCATTCTCAGTGTATGGCATATCAGCATTCGTGTTCTATAACTGCATTACCATTCTCAAGTTCCTAAAGAAATTCTTGAACTTCAACATGATATACATATTGCATAGAAATCCCAATTGTTCTTTCTTCTTTTTGCCTGCTTCCTGTTTTGATCAGCTTTTTCATTATTTCATCATTAATAATTTAACAGGATACACCCAGCATCTTACATTTAACCTAATCAGTATATCCTGATCTGGCAACTTCAGTTACAGTCTTCCAATTGATCTTTCTACCCACAAAAATTTCGTTTTTCAATCTCTTCATAAGGTAAAAGAAACCAACGAAGTAGGAGTGGACTATCTCATCCAAGATAATTAATAGATTGAATCTATCAAATAGTCTAAACGTCTTAGGCCCAACATCACAAATTCACAATGATTCAAATATAGCCAAATATGAAATCCCCATGTCCAGAACATACCCTTATCGCCATTTACTCTTGTTTCCTTTTAATGCACAATAGCTCTAAAGAAAACAGTCCTAAGTCTGTTTTCAAAATTAATCCTCAGGATTTCAATTCCTACGAGACATAAAAGAGTTCTGCATCTTGAAATTTCATCAAAATCCCCACTCTCCTAGTCTTTTATGCATCCCAACAAAAAATTTAAAGAAAACAATAATAATCTCCACCCCTCACAGCCCCCTTTTTACTTGTATTCACTCTACATACCAGTAATTTGCAACACAATATTATTCCAACAGAGAACCCAGAAATCAGCTAGCAATAGTAATGAAAACAGAAAACTCAATTTAAAAACAAAAAATTTAAAATAGGGAACTTGTAATCTCACCTCAAAGCGTATGTTCTTGTAGACAAGCTCTTCAACGTTGCTGCCGACGGTAGGGTTCGTGGTGACAACCTCCCCGAGATTGAGTTTGTAAAGGGTCGTCGTTTTCCCAGCATTATCCAACCCTACCACCACAATCTTGTACTCCTTTGCAGGGAACAACATGAACCAGAACCTGGATATAAAAGCTCCCATCTTTCTGCTTCAATCGCACCTAAAATTAACAAAAATCATCTCAAAACTTCAGCAAAGCTCCAATTTCCTCTTAAAAAGGGGGAAAAAAAAATCAGAAAGGCAGGGAACACGAAAACCTAAGTCGATCAAATCCACGGAGATGGGATTGAACCTGGATTAAGGAATTTGGAGGAGACGACGAAGAATGGCGGTGGCGGAGGGTTGCGGAAGGAGGAACCGGGGAATAATGGATATTCGATGTCAGCGTAAGTGCGATTTGATTTTTGGTGGAAGAAGATAAATGGAGAAAGGAAAGGAGTTTGGGAGAGAGAATCTTTGACTTTCCTTCTTGGAAGGAAAGAAAGGTGAGGTGGCTATGGCGCTGTTTCCACCGTGGCAGATGACATGTAAATTGACACGTGGGTGATGTATATTTTTAAGGCAGTACTATATAGATAATTTTTTTATTTTTTTATATAATTTTTAAGTATTATTAAATTTATTAAATGAATGAATAAATTTAATATTACAGATTTAGTATGAATTAAAAATTTTAATTATTTAAATGATAAATTAAATTAAACCAAAAAAATATTTCAAAATTATTTCTCACATTTTTACCCACGTACCTAGCTATCAATGCCAAATGGGCGTCAGTCAACATGACTAATAAATGAAAAAAGAAAATGATTTTTGTACAATTATTTTATTTTATTTTTTTATATAATTTAATGTGTTATTAAAATATTAGTTCTTTTAATTTATATGAAACTCATGATATTAAATATATTCACTCATTTAATGACATATAAAAATTATGTAAAAAATAATATAAAAAAATTACCCTTATAACACTACCCAAAAAATCACTCATATAAATTATGTGGAGTTTTTTTTAGGTTAAATGTTAAATTTGGTCCCTCAACTTTAGTGAGTTGCACATTTTTGATCCCTCAACAAATTTTTGCACATTTTTGATCCCCTAACTCTAAAAATTGCATAATTTTAATCCTTCCGTCAGTTAAGTGACACTTGGCAGTTAAATATTCCAGAATGGCACTTTTTAATGACGTGGCAATGACAACTCATATAATTAGCTTACGTGGAGTATGCCAAGTCAGACTTAATTGTCCTTCTTAATCTTTTTCAATTCTTTAAATATAAAATTACTAAAATGCCCTTAATCTATTCTTCTTTCCATCGTTCTCCTCTGTGCTCTCTTTGTTCTCCTTCCCACTGCCACCGTTTTCAGCCATTTTTCCTTTGGTTGTCACTGTTTCTCTTCTCCCCTCCCCTCCCCTCGTCCCTTTCTTGGGCATGATTGGGTTCATGAGGAACCCAGAGACAACCTAGGTTCGTCGCGAACCTAGTTATGGGTTCGTCATGAACTCAGAATGCCTCTTTCATCCTCTTTCATTCAGTACTCCACAATTAAAAGCAACATAAAATTTCAAAAGAAATGCCACTGTTTCCTCCATAAATCTACTTTACATTATTTCTATCCTCTGCAAAAAGCATGTGTGAATCACCATGAATGAGAGAGTTAGCATACATCTTCCTGCAAAAACAAGGAATTAATAATGAACATTGTGGGTTTGCAACAAAGAATCAAACTGACAATGAATCACCATAAATATATTCAACAAATTTTATCTAATCTATGGCAATAAAGAAATGGGTTTGCGACAAACCCAGAAGAGATCCGGGTTCGCGCCGAACCCAGAGCAGATCCGGGTTCGCGCCGAACCCAGAGCAGAGCAGACTTGGGTTCGCGACGAACCCAAATCTGCTCTGGGTTCCAGTCGACGAACCGAAGTCTGCTCTGCTCTGGGTTGACGCGAACCTAAAGCAAATCTGGGTTCCTCATGAACCCAGTCATGGCCAAGCTGATGAGGGGGAAGGGGATAAGGGGGAAAGGGAGGAAAAATGGTTGGAAATGGTGGACGAACCCAGATCATCTCTGGGTTCCTCATGAACCCAGTCATGGCCAAGTTGATGAGGGGGAAGGGGAGGAAAAATCACTAGAAATGGTGGCGGTAGCAAGATGAACAGAGAAAGCACAAAGGAGAACCATGGCAAGAAGAATAAATTAAGGGTATTTTAGTAATTTAATATTTAAAGAATTGAAAAGAATTAAAAAAAACAATTAAGTCTGACTTGGCATATTCCACGTAAGCTAATTGTATGAGTTGTCATTGCCACGTCATTAAAAAGTGCCATTCTGTAATATTTAACTGCTAAGTGTCATTTAACTGACGGAAGGATTAAAATTGTGCAATTTTTAGAGTTAAGGGATCAAAAAAGTGCAAAAATTTGTTGAGGACCAAAAATGTGCAACTCACTAAAGTTGAGGGACCAAATTTAGCATTTAAC